TGAAGCCGCTGGGAAGGGCTCACCAAGGAGGGGATTAAGCGCTAGGGCCTGAGCTGGCAAATCCTGGCGGCAACTCGGACGTGTTCCTAGGCTATAACTGTGTTGAAAAGTTCCTGGGGGGTGGAGGGGGCTGAGAAGGCGGGAATATCAGCGTCCAGGGGTGTGTTTAAATAGTTTTGGGGGAAGCTAGTAAGCTGCTGTAACGTGAAGTGCAATGCTAAGGCAGGGTGCAATAGTCTCCAAATTAAAAACACAGGCCAGAGACACAGCTGCCTTGTAGCGAGGTAGAAGTGATAAAATCAGTAGTTGAGAACAGCAAGTAAGTTATTTATTCATTCAGTAGTAAATTTCATACAGGTGCTGTATAGGTTAAGATGAAGTTTGAGTTTTGGTCAACTGATTTTTGTAATTATGTGAATAGTTTAGGAGTCTTGGCTAGCCTTAGCTAGGGCCAAAATCTAAGGGGAAGAGGGATGATATATGGAGATGTCCATGTAAATATGAAGCTTGGATGTTTTCGTGAAACCAAACTATTCATCCAAGTGACCTGTGCATATATGGTCACAGTGTTTATATAACCATATTTATGCTCATAGAACTACTGTAAGACATGAAGATTGTGACTGCTGCTGTGACATATCATGTGAGAAAATTGAACTTACTTTTATTGTAAATCATGGCCCAGGCTATGCAAAACTTGACGTTAACTTAATTATTTATTTTAGCTTGAATTAAGCTCAATTGCTTTAAGCACAACAACTTTAGTGTCTAGAGCTAAAAGGCCACTGAACCAGCAGAAGAAAGAGGTAAATGATTCTACATATGTAATCTCTACACGACTAAAACACTGGTGATACCAAACTGGGGCAGCGGTTGGATGGGGTGTGCGCGCCCCGGCGTCCGATGGGAGCAGGGAGCTCCTCTGGTCAGTGAGTTCACGGGGAAGGGGCGCAGCGGGGACCCCGCTCCTGCCGTGCCGCGAGCCCCGGCTGGCCCTGCAGGCCTTGCAGCTCTCAGCACGCAGCGCACGACCACGCAGTAGCCAAGGCCTCCTGGCTTTTTAAGGTAACCCTGCTAATACCTGGAAAAATACTTCCCTGTGCACAGGCTCCATCAAGTACAGGAGGTAGAATAATATAGCATACACTTCTTAAAGATACTCTTCTCCTGTTTTTTTTTTCTATCATTCAATCTTCATAATATTTGTTTGTATTGATTGCTGTCACTTTTCTGTTTCACATTTTGTGATGATGCGATTATGTGATTATTTTTCAACCTCTGTTTTGACTTTGAATAGTTTAATATTGCACTTTTTATAACAGAAATTTAAATGCCAGAAGAGCAAAACCAAACTATGATGGCAGTTGATGAGCTTCAAGCCATAATACAACGATGCGTAAGTACTTCTCATAAGAGCTGTAGATGCTAGCAGGATAGGTTTGTCTTTATACACTGTAATTAAAAATAAAATCGCCCTAAAATGCAGGACAGTTGTTAGCACAACTCTTCACTGGGCTGCTGGCTTTAGCTTTCATGTGTCATTGCCTTATCTTTGGTGCTTATCCCAGGATGCTTCTGGGATAACTTCTGCCTCTTGGATGAAGATGTGTTCTTGTTTCCCTCAGTAGTAACTGCGTGAAGAAGAAAACACTAGCAGATTGTTGTAGAAAAGCTCTTAAGTAATATGCTGTTCTCTAGACTTGAAAAATACTATTAAAATACTGCTTTCTTTTCTGTAGTAGCTCTCTCGTGATTTTTTTTAAGTATGTAAAAGATGATGTACAGGGAAAGATAAGTTCTAATGACATTGCATTTGACTTTGAAATTAAAACTTGAGTTTACTTATTTTTTTAAATTCCTATTTTGTAAATATGGAGTTAAACATGCATGTTTTCTTTCTAGCAAATTCTGGAAGAAGCTGATTTCAGCGGAGAAGATTTTACTTTATTTCAGGTAGCAGGCCAGAAATGTTTAGAAGATGGGTATGCAGCTCAGTTATTAGAAGTAGTTCAAAATGAGAAAAATAAGGTGAGTTTAGATTTGAATTACATTAGCTGCGTGGTGAACACACTATTAAATAGATAAAACTGTATATGAAGCAGTAAAGTTACCTTTGCTGTAGAATAAGTGTGTGCATATGAGTAGTCAATCAGCTGTGCTGTGTTAAGCGTATTTTAGTGTAATTTGAGTTACTATGACTTGTGTACTCAAGTCATGATAATCTTAACAAAGCTATTAATGTCTGATTTCCAGTGAATTAAACAGAAAAGAAAAAGAGAGGCCAGCTCGTAATGATGAGAAAGTGATGGTGGGCCTCTGTAGCAGGAGAGTATTTTAGATGTAAATAACGTTGCACAGCTTTTTAAGAGCAAGTAGTTAGTTAGGCTGATGCAAATGGAATTGGGGCAGTTTGGGGGACTGGGAAAACATACTTACATTAAATACAGATAAATAGGAAGTCTAAAAGGATGGGATGTTTTGGCAGCGTTGCTTGAGGTTCACAGTCGGGTTATGATCTCAGTGAATCTGAAAAGCAACTGAAGATATTGAAAGGATGAGTTGTTCCATGGACAAAATATTGTGCAACAGTATTTTATTTCCTTGATTTGTCTAATCAAAAAACAGTAAAACTCTTCTATCTAGTCCTATTTGAAATGTTTTGTCAGACAAATATGTGTAAATATATGTTAGCGTGTTTGAAATAATATACAGAAGAAGAAAACTATAGAGAATATACAGCTATGTTGCCAGATATGGGGAGAAAGCGCAGTGTGCACAGAAATTTATTATAATAGATATTAAATTTTCAGTGACATTATGGTATTCATTACCATAATAATGGTAATGGTCTGATCTATTGTCATTTTTGACCTTTGTATATATGATATTCTGTATTTAGAGTTGTGCAGTTTTGGTTTATTCTCTGAAAATCTGGTTTGCAGGTTATCATCAAGAATATGGGTTGGAATCTCATTTGTCCTCTTGTTAGATGTATTTTAGTGTATAAAGAGGAAGATGATAATAGAGAACACTGCCTGAAGATACTAGATCTGCTGGTGCAGGTATGACTTTGAAATACATCATTTTAAAACAGAAATTGTAGCAAAGTTTGTTGTTGTTGTGTTTTTTGTTTTGTTTTTAACCTGGGCTCTTTTGCTTATTTCCCATAACTTTTTGCCTTGGCCTGAATTTCATCTGAATTAGGAACAGGGGTAGCGTCCTGAGAGATAATTAACCTCTTACAAAATTTGTGAAATTAGCTACTAGATAAGACAAAGAGCTATAAAGCTACTGTGGAGAAAAAGGCTAATAGAGCTCATCTGTTAGCCTTTTGGTAGCCTGCCACTATAGTCAGCATGACTGCAGCCTCTGCCATATCCTCTATGTCTTCATTATGTTCTGATGTGGTAGGAAAATAAGCCTTAATCTGTGTACGTGTATGTACATTCTACAGAAGACATTAACAAGTACTTATCTTAGTAGCATTTCTTAAAGGTTATTTTGGATGTTTGGATCTGCTTTCTTTGATACACAGGAGCTTCTTTGTTGCCGTTTGTTTGCAGTGGGATTTTTAGTTTATGTCCACGATGATTAAAAAATAAGCATTGTTCTTCCCTTGCAGCTATGTAACGCAAAGGAACTTTTTTTAGGTTTACTTGAGCAGATTGAGCAGACCTCTGGAGAGCAAGTATGCAAAACTGTCATGTTATTGCTTCAGCCTTTGCAGACAGGTAACATTCACTTTCTTGTGTGATTTTGAAAGGTCTATCTGCTTTAGTAATTATTTGCCAGTATCAATACTGGTCAAGTTAACTGCAGTATATGAAGCTAACTGACTGTATTGGCTGATCTCACTACACTTGCGCATGTCTTTTCAGGCATCATTCCCCTGCCTCCACTGAAACAAAAGACTTTCTTAAGCAGTTACTTTTTTGTTGTTGTTGACTTTTTTTCCTCCAGCAAGTAATAATGTCATGTCTTGAACTGTTTTCTTTGTTTCAGTGCTTTTCAAACTTCAGAACAAGAAGGCCTACTCAGTGGGTTTATCTTTGGCTGTGATAATGAATCAGTTTACTCCGTTGCCCGTTCCTTACACGAAACAACAAATACAAGAAGATAAACTTGGTCTCTGTCAATGTTGTAATGCTGTTGTTGACTTTGCTAAACCTTTTGTGAATGAAGTTGTTAAAAACATGGAAAAGTCATCAGAATGCAATGATACAGAGCTGAAGGAAGAATTACTAAAATTGTGAGTATATCAGCTCACATAATTCCATAATGTAACATAATGTACGTGTCATTTATTGCACAGGCAGTAAATAAATCATCTTACTAGTGTTTTATAATGCAGTTGATTTTATATAAACTAATACTGTGTTTAAAAAAATGCTAATTAGATGAGGAAAGAAGAATAAAAATATTTTTGAAGTATAGGAAAATGGTAGAGAAAGAAAAGAAAAGAAAAAAGAAAAGAAAAAGCAGTCACTGGTATGGAGCTGATTTACTAGTCTTCTGCTTCTTCTCAAGCTTGCAATAGCAAGCATAATCCCATTCTGGAGGTGAAGTCTAAGCAGGGCTTTTAGAGGAGCATTTTTTTATTCTCCTTGGAATACCAGGAATAGAGGCATCTATTGAGTATAGACTTTATTTTTGGTCCTCAGTGACATCATTATAGTCCATACTTGTGACCTTACTGGTGATTTTAATTAAATGTTGCCCCTTTCTGTTTCAGCTGTATGAAAAGCCTCAAATACCCATTGTTAACAGCTCAGCTTGACCAACTTGAAAGCATTGAAGAACATCCCTTTAGGCGCTTCGCAAGTGAAATTATAGTAAGTGCAGTCAGAATGAATTACAGTGTATGCCAAACCAGTTGTGTTCACAATTTCCTACAGTCGGTTCTAGAGAGAATTTACAGGGTTCTGTAAGATAATGCTTACTCTGAGAAAGATTTGGAATAGTTTCAGATTCCATCTCTGGAACCTGTACATCTCATAAACTAAGTTTTACAGTTTTACTTCTCACTAAGCTGCTTTGGGTTACTGTCTGAATCAGCATCTGCTTCTTTGCCATAATTGTGTTTTTTTTTTTTCTCTCTAAAATGTTTCAGTAACTTTATCCATTTGCTTTTGTTCTCATCTTAATGTCAGCCATTTGAAATAGAATTTGGGGCTTTGGACTTTATGCTGCCTTTTTACCCCTGGTCAGAGGAGGAACATTGACAAATCGAATCAAGAAGTTACGAAAGTCAGAGAATGCCTGGGGTAAGAGGGAAGTCTAAGTTATAGTGCAGGTAGAGTGAGGATAAAGATGGCTTAGAGACTGACAACCTCAAACTGTCTGTGGAAGAAGACTCAGAACTGTGAAACAGGAAGCTAGAAAAAGGGCAGCTTTTTCGACAGTATGCTGGAAGAAATGGTTTCCTAGAGAAGCAGAGAGAGTGGGTCAGGGGAAGAAGTGGCACCCTAAAACTTGATGAGAACACAAAAGGAAGAGTTGGAGTGAGCTGGGGTGAGGAAAGAACATGTAAAATAAGAGTGTATGCGTATATTTGTGTGTGTATATATATATATGTGTGTGTGTGCATGTATGTGCAAAGGCAGACTGGAAGTTACCATACGGTATAGTTTTGTTTTTTTCTCTCTTTTTTAATCTAAGAATTAATACACACCATATTTTGTTTACAAGTGTTAAGGTTGCAAAGTGAAGCACAGTGAAGCAAGCAATTAGCAAAACTCTGGGTTATTTTTCAACCATAGGTAGATTTTTCACTCGTGATCGCATCCAGTTTTTTCCCCAGGATGTCTTGGTCAGAGCATTGGATGGAACTGCTCTGTGGATCGAGCAGGGTTGTAAGACGTTTATTTCATTTGATGCTGAACTTGTGTGCTCGGATGGAGACAGAGATTATTAGAAGATGATCTACTGGCTAAGATGGTTGAATGCTGCTCTGAAAAAATGGATTTTTATTCCTGCTTTTCCTGTTTTTCCTGTAGTCTGCTTTGGCGCAATGTTAAACTAAGATTTTATACAATTTTTTACAAAATACTTTTTTTTTTTTTGTTCACCTGAATTAAATTGCACTAGCTATTTATAGAATTTAGTAATGATAGCTGCCGTTAAGGTCAATAGAGCCACACTTTAAGTATTTGACATGTTACGTAATGCTAATTCTCCGAAAGGTCCAAGCAGGATAATCCCAGAACAGTGAGTTAACCTCATTCTCTCTGCTTCCTCCACAGTCTTTGCAATATGAATTACACTACCTCAAAATCTCACAGAAATGTATGGGGAAAAAAACACTAGTATTTGTGAAGAGCTTGTTTTCCTGTGTTGTGCATCACTAGAAAAAAAGGCATTACAGACTGATTCTACCTTTAAAGCCCATCTTGCCTTTAGTAGATACACCTTGTGTCACATGTTGAACAATGAAGAGAAAGCAAAACACTAAATGAGTGTTCTGTGAACTGAAAAATGCAGGGGTCCTGGGACATAATGTGATTATAAAACTATCATTATTATTTATAGCACAAGGGCACAACCAGAGCTTTGCAGGACAATTTTGTATTATGCCAACTTGTGCCTGACTGCCTTTTTGAGTGCCTGATGTATGTATCATAAATGGTCATAAAATATGTTCAGTAACATTTACTATGTAAGAGGTTTTACTGTAAATATGAGGCTTGAAACTTTTAAAGGTGAATATATGCAATCTAACTTTCTTTTTTAGGACATCTTATGGGATATGAGAGAATTGGTACAATTAGTGTTTTCACATAATAAATGCAGAAGTCAGTCCTGGGAGAATGAGGAGTTTGCAGACATAGAACGAAAGAATTCTGCAGATTCTTTGGCGTGTCTGTCATATCTGATGTTTGTTCAGTATTTTGGTATTGATTGCTTTCCTGTGGTATTTAGGTAAGAGCTATTCTTCCTCAATTATGATAAGTTTCTGCTTTGAAGTGTCTTTTTGAGCAGAATAAAACTTTTATTTAAAAATAAGTATGGAAAAGTATATTTTTTAATTTGTTTTATGGTAACATTTATGTGTTTATATTTTATGTAGCTCATATTATATGCATAAGTACATACTCCATTCTGTACATTAGTTAGTTACTACTTAATGGTACAGGAGATAGTGTTTTAAATAAAATGGTGGTATTAGGCATATTTTGAAAATTAACATATATTAAAATTTCAATTTTATATTTATATATGGATGCCACATAAGAATTATAGCAGTTTGACTTACTAACTCTCATATAGCATACTAAGCCTATCAAATGTATTAAATTGCTCTATGAAAATATATATTTGTGACCGTCACCCACATGGCTTATGCATTTTAATATAAATATGATTTTCTCTTTTAGTCCATCATACCTGCTGCAATGCAATATGGTACACATTGAAGTCCTACTGAAAAGGTAGGCTTGTTTGATATTTGGTCTTCTGGATAATGTGGGATTCCTTAGTTTATCCTATGGTATACTTCTGTATTACTGTGTGCATATTTTCGTTTTGTTTTGTTTTTAATGGTGCTTTATTGAATACAACTTTGAATATACCAAGTATGCGCAGGGAAGGTTTCTAAAGCAGAGAATTGAAGTGACAAATTGCAGAACAAGATGGCTTTATTTTTTTTTCTGCAGAGCTACGAAAAGTTGTCCTAAGTATTCAGTTAATGTTTTCAGCTCTGCTGTGATACCATTTTTAAAAACCCTATACTGAAAACACCAAATTAAGACCGTATATGCAATGCAAAACAATTGGATTATATATTTATTTGTATTTCTGTAACAATCAGCTTACTATTAAAGAAGACTGTTGTGATAATGATTATCTGTATTTTGATATGATATGCAATCTGATTAAAGGTCGAGCTTTCTAGAGGAAACCATATGTTTCCATGTTGTGATTATTTGATATGCTGGAAGTAGCACTGTTGACCAAACAATTTCTAGTACTGCTAGAGAAAGGGTTTCTTATTATGACTGCTTACCATTTCCTGATAAAATTTAACTAAAACTTAATGGCCTCTTCAAATTAGGACTTGCTGTCGTTCCCCTTAGCTTACAGAACTGTGCAAATGGAATCCTCTAGGAAAAGTTTCATTCTCTTTGTTAACTAATAACTTGATGCCGATGGGACATGAGCTTGTGCCTTTGAACTTTAATAAATATTGAGAAGAAATACTATTATTTTTTACCTTAAAGACATGAGTCAAATTTGCAGTCTCTCCATTAGCCCTGTATATTCTAAAAGTCTTTGAGAGGAGTAATGAAGATGACAGGAAAAGCAAAATTTTTGAGGGCCAGGTTGCTTTATGTTGTCTCTTCTGCTACTTCTACTGCTTCTGAAATGAGTAGTGTTTTTTTTTTTCAGTATGCACGTTAAATTTGTTCGTGTCTTTTTTTTTTCCCTAGAACTGAAGAATCAGTTTTATCTAAAGGACTTGTAAGTTTTCTTTATTAAATTTTCATGGTTTGAATATTTATTCTTTCCAACTTAAGTATTAGCGCAACTTTCTAATTTCCCTTTCTAGTAAAGGTACAAGTGATAGTTCAGATGATAGTTCTGACTACAGTTTCAGAAATATTTTGAGGCTTAATTAGATGTTCTTCAGCCTTGCAAACTCTTCTACGTTTATTGTAACTTTTCACATATGCATAAATCTTTAAATTAGCATTATCACTTATGTTTGTAGTTCCTGGGAGCTCTGGATACATGAGTAAGCATTTGTAGCAAAGAAATTTTTAGCTTAGAAGTGTTAAGCAGTTCATTTTTTTTTTTCTCCTCACTTGCAGGATCTGTTTGAGAGCGCGTTATTAAGAATGGAAGATAATAGCCTGCTCCACCAGTATTTAGAATTCAGCAACTTTATTACTGTACCTCAGGTAATAAGATGAAGCATCCAGAAGTCTTTAAAGTTCGACTATAAATAATATGTGGCAATTTTTGAGGTGTTTAAGAGAGGACATGCTACTGAGCCTTCATATACATACTTATATTGTCAAATCGAAACCTGTCGTGTCTTGCTATACAAAGCTGTTTGTGGACAAGGGGAATCTGCAATGTGCAATAGTAATTTTACTCTCCAACAGCTTCACACTAGCTCTGGGTCTTCTGCTTGTTCAAATAGAGCAGCAGTACTCATGGGAAACTGTCATGCTCAGAGTGTGGCCAGTGACAGTCTTGCACACTGATATAATGCAACACAATGGGAAAGATGTTAAAACATGAAGAAAAATGTAAAGCAGTGGCAGCTTTTCCTTGAAGGATGAGAAGGAATTTTCATAGAAAAGGCTTCTCTCCTACCTATAGGCAATAGGCGTATCACACCTCCTCCTTTTGCTACTACAGCTCTGCCCCAGCTATCTGCTTGTGCGATTGTGAAGTATCATTGCCATAAATAATACTTAAATGGAGAATTCCTTCTCTGGTATCTTAATTGATAAACTCGGTAAAGTTGGAAGCATGCTTCTGTGCTTCCAACTGCCTGAAACTTCATTGCATATTTTAATTTCTTTTAGACCTGAATTTTGAAAACTTAAAAAATTCTAATCGTTCCTCTGCAAAGCAAGAGGTATCATTATTTTTTTTCTGCCATGTATTCGATACAGTGTCGGTGTCAAGTCTTTCATTAAATTTCATTTTCCATTACTCTAACACCAGCAAAGATCTTTCTGCCTTTTGCTGGATGATTCATTTTCTTCTTTCAACTTAAAACAATTGATTTCAAATATAACATTATTCCTTATTTTCTCTGTGAATAGTTTAAATATATCATGTGTTCACGAGCCTTGTGTTTTGTCAGTTTGTCACACTCAACAGAAATAGGCACCTAAATCTTACTGGTCGCAGTAAGACTCTCTGTTCCATATGGAACAGAAAAATAGACTACATAGTATAATGTTTAACTTAAATGGTAGCATATAACATATCAGTAGGCTTCAATGTTTTTGTATGTTAAACTTGCAAGTAGGTCTTTCTTACATGCCAGGGCATGAAATTTCAATGAAAATTAAAATATATTTAGTGTACATATAGGCCACTGAGGCAGGGCAGGCACTGATCTTTTTTGAAAGATAGTTATGCCATCTTTCACGCTTGATATTTTGCCCTTTTCTTGCAATTCTGATACCTCACTGAATTCTTACTTTGCCAGAGCGATAGAAGGGTAGTATTGTTGTATTTCAGCCCTGAGCTTTCAGATGCTAAAGACAACGTTAACTTCTCTGATTTGGTCTTCTTATAGGCGTACTTGGAAGAGAAAAAAAAAGATTTAAATTTAATCCAAAGGTAGTTAATCTGAACATAATTAAAATTTGTTTTCTTTGTCCTGTTGCAGAATTTGGTGAAAGTTATGACTCTTTGTCCCATAGAGCATCTGGTACGTAACATAACCCATAGAATGAGCTAAGTGCTGAATTTTTTAAATTAGAATAAATCATGTATCTTCTTCTTTTCTTTAGCGGAAGAAAAGTTTAAATATTTTGCAGTTATTCATAAACAAGTTTGATGCAGAGGGAAAATACACATTATTCAGGTATGCATCTGGGTTATTGTAGATTGTGCAATATTAGGGTGTGGGATTTATTTATTTATTTATTTACAATTTAGTTCCCTAGAAAGTCTCAGAAATCATTGTGGCTACCTGGGAAAACAGATTTATTATGTTAATTTCTGGCTGAATAATAAGTATCAAATGTGTCTCAAAAAATGCTGGCAAATGTGTCTCAAAAAATGCTGGAAAAATTGCTGAATAAGGCCATAACGTTACCTAAGTTTTGAGCCAACTATTACTGGTAGCTTTCAGAACACAGTCTCTTTATTTTGTTTTCCAGATGCTTACTGAAGACAAGCAACCATGCTGGTGTGGAAGGATACGTTATTAAAAATATAAAAGATCAGATTCACTTAGCATTAATGGTGAGGCTATAATTATTAAAAGACCGAGTTGCCACATAAAAATTTTGTCCATATTATGTTAAGAAAATGTGTATAGCTTGAGCTTTCAGTGATCAGAGAATCATAGAATCATTCTGGTTGGAAAAGACCTTCAAGATTGAGTCAAAATGTAAACTCACCACCCCAATACCTGCTCACCCACGTCCCTCAGCACCTCACCTGCACATTTCTTGAGTACTGCCAGGGATGGTGACTCCACCACTTCTCAGGGAAGCCGATACATTAAAATTAAATATTACTTTGAAAAGTATGATTGCAATAAGATTGGGAAATGGTAGAGTTAAGAGTTTTAATTTGGCTTCTTTCTGCATGTGTATTTTACATATACTTGTAATTGTATGGTCTTGTGTGTTAGCAGCAGGTTATTCCCTTTTCTGAACTTGAAATACATGTTCCTTGCCTAAAGAGAAACCACTCAGCATCTGGTTTTATCTTCACAGTTTTTCATTTCCCTAGCATAGTTCAAACCCTGAAGTCCTGACAGACTGATTAAATTTTTAATAGATTTTTATAGTGACAGTCAGCATTATAATAGAGTGGCTCACAAATGTTAAATTTATCAAAAAATGTTCAGCTAAATCAAAGCTCTTTAGATCACATATTTTATCATCATTTATACTAGGGAGTCAGAAAATTAATTAAAAATAAATTAGCTCTATTTTTTTTTCACTACTTGAGGCTTTTTTTCCTAAGCCTATTTGATTCTCAGGGATGTGGCCTTTATTTAAATGGGACAATGTAGTATATTCATGCATAATTTATATTAGCATTTATATTGTTTAACACATTCAGGCTGTTAATATCACGCCAGAAAATAGTGAATTATTTTTATGAAATGATAGTTAACGCTATATATTGAATGGTGCAGGGGTAAAGAAAATAAATATTATGAAAAGTCTTCTTAAAATCAAATTTTCAGACTAGAAGTTTTGGACTATGCAAATTCAAAATTTTCTTGACATAATTCTTTCTGTAGAGTTCTCTGGCTAAAAGATGCATCTTTTTAAAATTTCATCATATAAGTTTGAATATTCTAGGTTTGTTATATAAAATCTTACTGTAGCCCTAATGAAATAAGTGAATGCCAATAGAAACTCTTAGTTTTTCTGCCTAGTTAGTCTTAGCTTTCTCTGTCTGCCTACACAGTTACTTTCTTTGGCCTTAGCATTTGAAAAGCAAAGCAAGGAACGCATGCTGTGACATGGTATGACACAATGCTGTCATGGTGCAAATACACTTTCTGGTAAAGGTAACTCATTTTTCCTTACTTCAGGATAAAAAGGGAGTGCCTAGTACCATTTGTTAAGCTTATGTAAACAAATATTAACTATATTGATGATGATACGATGAAGAGGTGGAGATTCGTTCAGAGGAGTTGAAAAAGAACAGTTTGACATGGAGAAACAAGCTGCAGAGGAATATATCTTCTTTTGAAAAAACTATTTTGATCACCATTAGTAACTAGAAAATACTTACAACTTTTGATTTTTTTTTTTTTAATTTGCTTCTCCCATACTATAGTTATTATTGCTTACGATTTATATTTTGTACATAGCTGAACATTTTGTATTGTTTTTTTTTCAAAAGGTAGGTGACAACAGCTGGTTTACAGGACATCACCTCATCTCCCTTCTAGATCTAGTACTTTTGCTTCCTGATGGTGCTGAGACAGATCTTCTGCAAAATTCAGATAGGTGAGCTGTAATCACAATTAGAAACATTTCTGATTTTTGATCATCCAGAAGAAAATGTTGAGCTACCTTACTAAAATGTATCAATGTGTTTTGACTTATTTGACAACGTGACTTATTTCAACTATCCATTCAACTGACTCTATCTAAAAAATGTCGCAATCAATTATATTGAGGTTAACAATGAGAAGGATATTCCTTTTGCATCTCTGTAGGGTGTGGTACCTGATGTCAAATTGCAGAACTAATAGGTAGAGCATAATTCCTTGAGGAGTGTGTGGTTTGTCAGCTTTCTGCAGAAGCAGGAAAGGAACTTTGGCAGTTAGAGAAAGAAGGGGAAAAAAAAAGTGGTAAGTTATATTAGTGATAGAGAGGAGTAACAGCAATCTGGTATGTTTTGCAGGATGCAGCCTTTTCAAGGCTGTTTCACAAATTGCTGCTGGGAGTCCTGTGTCTCATAAGCGGAAATACAGAAGCACCTGAACAGCAATACTGTCATTAAGAAATAAAAAAATAACTGGAAATGTCTTGAAAAATCTCATGCATAGGACAAGGGTCTTCCTATATTGCGAGTAAAGATTGGGCTTGGAAATCAGCAGGGTCATGTTGTTCAGATGAAGCACACTTACCTCCTTAAAAGCACACATGTACAATCCATAACTGGAAGCAGTGCTGCTCTTTATTTGGAAATATCAATGAGTAGTTTTTGCTAAAAATTAAAATAAAACAGAAGTAAATGGGAAAAAGTACTCACAGTAAAAAATCAGTAATACTTTTTCAAAGAGAGATGTTACTGTTTGGATTGCCAACGATGCATTTCGGGGGGCAGAAGCTGTACATCTTTTTGCTGATTCCTGTTTTTCTGCTCCCTCCGTCATGGTAGTGTGTGTTTCTCACACAGTCAGGAACAAGAATAAGATGTTTCAGCACATATGAGGGGAAAAGAAAACAGAAAGAAAAATCATAGATGCTAATGTGTACATGAGGGAGAAGGCGAAATGCAGGAAGTTATTAAGTTCTGTATTCATTCTTCATTCTGTAGCTGCTTAAATTCTGAAACAACAGTTCAATCTCTTTTCTTCACAATCACTAGCCCTCTCCAGTCTGCTGCCAGTATTAATATTACTTGTAAAGTGTCAGCTTCTGTTGTGGAAAGGAAGTCCTGTGCTCTGGATCAGACGATATTGCTCAGCAGATGGGTGGTTGCATTTTGTATAAATAGATGTTTTTAGGATATCTGGCTATTAGACAATCCAAATTATTAATACTGTAATGTAAAACTGTACTTTAAATGATCAATATTGTATCTTTAATTCACAGGATTATGGCATCACTAAATCTGCTAAGATACTTAATGATTAAAGATAGTGAATATGATAATCAGGTAAGTATTTATGATTTAGGTGCTGTATGGCTTTTCAATGCAGTATATTATGATCGGTGTGGTATTTTGCTGTCCAGCTGCAGTTGATGGCCATGTGTCCCTGGATAGTCAAGGGAAAGCTCAGTATTTACATTTCTAACTAGGATAATTCAAGATTCTGTATTCTAGCAATTGATTTACCATTTTGCATGCTCTGGCCTGCATTGTGCCACACTGGGAAGCCACTAGAACTGTTTATATTTTGTTTTCAGACTTCATTCCACTACTGAAAGGCCACTTACTCAACTAACAAATGCAAGTTCTGTTGATTCTTTTTTTTAGTCGTTATGTCCCAACATCTCTCTGATCCATGCAATTCAGTTATTTTTTTTATCAGCTGACAATATCATCTGATCTCCTTTGATTTTTGCATTAAAATACTTTTAAAAATTAGTGACAGTGATATTCTTGACAATTTAAATAAAAGTTGCTTTTCTGTCCTCTAAAATAGAGAGAATTGTCTGTTTCACTTTCAGAGCACTTCAGTTTGCATACAAGTTTCCTGTATGCTTGGTGGTGTTACTGGTCTAAATGGAATGAGGATGAGATAATAATCAGTGCTTACCAAAACCATTGTGGGGAAAAAGGGTTGCAACAGTCTTCAACTAATACATTTCTAATTTACTCTTAATGTAATTAGTTAGTATTGATGGACTCTAAACGTATTTCAAATTTATGGAGTGATTTCTATTTAAGTGCTCATCATGGTCCATTCAGTTTCATATAAATTTTGTAATGCCTAGCTCTTTCAAGAGAGACAGCTTCCCTTATTACTTTAAAAAATCTATTCAAAATGCACAATGGCTGTAAGAATGCTGCCTGTTAACGTGGCATGAAGCATATCCATTTGGTTTGATGAGAAAATAGCATCGCCGCCTCTGGCTTCTTTCAGCCACGCATGTTCTTCTTACTTGTATTTATTGCACTTCTCAGAGTGCAAATAGGACATAAGGAAGCTGCTTATAAACTACCTATTCTTTAATGTAGATTCAGGTACTTTGAACGCTCTGCAGCCTGTGCTTTTATTAATTGCGTATAAAAATCAGTGTTTTTCTGGAAGGCTACTTTTTCATTGTAGTTCCATTCAAGTGGAAGTAATTACCAGTCCTCTTATTAGACCAATTAACTTTATCATTTGGCATTAAAGTTTGGTGTATTTTCCCCTGTAATCCACAATACCCTTTACCATTGAGAATTGTTATTTTTGTCCTCCCTGCACTGCTCTTTAAGACCATTGCCTGAAGAAAGGAGTTGTATAAATGGCTCTTAGATGTAAAGACACAAAGACTTGCTTTATATTTTTCTTCTACTGCAGTTTTTTAATTAAAAGCTTCTAAGGTGCCAAAGCAGAGAAATTTCCTCATGCTGCATAATTGTGAACAGCCTTGTTTTTGAGCTCCTTTTCTTTGTCCCTGTTGTTTTCTGAGTGTTCTTTTTGGAAACTCCTTCCTTCACCCATCCCAAACTGGAGAAGGGTTCAATTAGCTTTTTGGTTACTTTGCTTTGGATCACAAATCAATACAAAGCATTACAACATTTTTTTTTTAATTATGATTCATTAGGGATTTCATTAAAATCTTCCCTCTCTTAGAGTACTAAACGCCCTTTTTTGGTTAAAAAAAATACGGTGAAGTTAAGGTTAGGAGTGGGAAAGCAGTTTGTCATGAAGTCTGTAAGGTAGAATCTTCACTTGCACCTGAAAGGTGCACCTGAAAGCTTAGCATTGCGCAGCTTCAATGAGAACCAGTTGGTAAACTTCTCTCTTCTGTTCTGTTTGAATAGACTGGCGTATGGAACATGCTTGCCAAGATTGAGCAAAATTTTTTAAAACCACTGCATGTGGGACTCAATATGTCAAAAGCTCATTATGAAGCAGAAATAAAGAGTAAGAAAGAAAATAGAAGAGGTTAGTTGTTTTTTCTTAGCTTTGTTCTTCATGTTTAGAAACTGCAAATGATTGGTGAATGTTATATAGATCGTGTTTTTTATTTAACTATTCAGACCACTCCAAGTTTCAAAGTAATTCAGTAGTTTCTATATTTGATACTATTAATTGTCATTAGTCAAAAAAACCTGAACTTGTTTTATCTCTCATCACAGTCTTAAACCTTATAGAAACTTTATAGACATTGTTTAAGAATAGAATTAAATATAGTCTGTTTGACATTAACCTACCAGATAAAGACATTGCTCTATACATGTGCCTTTGCTTTAAGGTTAGACAGGGAGACATCTAAGTCTCTTTGTGAAGCTGTCCCTTAGTTTTCATAACTATTGTGAGGACCTTAATAACAGAAGAAATAATTCAAACAACAGATAGGTACTCTCCCTGAAGGATTACCTTCTGCTTTTTGTTTATCTGACACATACAATCAGATTCTAGTCTGGGTAAAACAGACATACATATTCTATAGGGAATGAGAACTACAGTTAACAGCTGCTTTAGGCCATCTCTGTGTGTGTCAGATCCTCTGTTCCTTTGTGGACTCCAGATAGCCCAAGGAACTTGTTTTAGCTGCCAAAAATGTCAGTAATGCTTTTTACCCCAGTCTTATCCTTCTGTGTTGCTGTAAACCAAGGATGAGAAGTTTTTCTGAAGGCAACCTGTAGGTACCTTTCTAAAGAAAACCATTCTCTAAAAGGAAGCTGGATTTATTTGTTTATTCTTCTTTTTTTTTGCAGTCCACTTAAGATTTCTGTGACCTTTGACAAAGAAAAGTGAATTCATGAGAGACTATCCAATGTGTAACAGTAAATGGTTTAGTCTTTCTCTACATTGTATAATTTTTGTATGCATTACAAAAAAAAAATAGTTTGAATGTCAGAATTTTCACCTTGTTTTTTAGACGTGCCCTTGTAATTCTGCCTGCTACAAGAAGTCTGTCTGAACCAGAAGAGACTGCAGCCTTTACTTAATAAAATAAATATTTAATGTCTGGATGGATCAAGTCAAGACCTCCACTATCTCTTTGGATGTGGCAGTATTAAAAAATATTTCAAATAGAGTGACAAGATTTTATTACTTTTTGTTTAAGTTGCATTTTAGCTATATAAAACTGTTGTGGATTAGAGGAAAATAGACTAATTGCTGCAGCTGTACTTATTGTATTATGTAACTCGTCTAGTACACCACTTCATAAATGGTAGTGCCAGGAATAGACTGTTTAGTCACATGCCAAACAAAACGCAGAGATGGCTTCCAGGTCAAACTGTGCTCCCCTTGAAGTTCAGCACCTCCCTCCTTCCCTCAGCATTCAGTCAATCTCTAGGTTTGCACTTTTAACAGAGAGTGCTAATGAATGAATGATAATGTCTGAAATAACTTTTAGAATTAAAAGAATATGTAGAACAACAGGATGTTTTTTGTCTTTTCTCCTACAGATTCAAACAGTTTGAACACAGTCTGTTCTGTAACTGTTAGTGGGGAAAAGATGCCCGCCATGACTACTGAAATGCAGCTTCAGGTAAGTGCATTTCCTTCAGAGTCAGAAGTACTAAAATTTTCTTTTAGATCTGGAGAAAACATGCATGCACAGCTGATGAAGAAAATCATGGCTGCAATAAAAATAACATTAATCTCCTTTGTCATTTCAGGTTTTACGCTCAGCTCTCTTCACATTTGATTTAATAGAAAGTGTTTTAGCGCGAGTGGAAGAACTCATTGAAGTGAAAACAAAAGCTGTAACATGAATATATTCGTCTCAGCTGAAACATTTGAATAAACATACTTCTTGAAAGCTGATTTTAGCAATTAGATGTTAATCGAAAAGGAGGCTACCACACTTTAAAGGAGAGTAGTTTAGAAAGACTACTAGAAGAACTGCAAATTCTGCTCTTCACCTGTCGTCTTGCTCTGATTTCTCTTCTTTTTTTTTTTCTCTTTTATTGTTGCTCTGTGTGATTCATAGAGATGGCCTACTTACTGAAGTAATCTTTTTTTTTTATTTTTCAGTCTCACACTTTTTCTGAAGTTTAGAAACTGCATCTACTTAACAACATTTTGTTGTTGTTATCCTGTGGCAAGGAGGCATGGTTGTGCATTTATTTTTCTGTTCACATTTTCAAAACCTGTTGGGTAGTACTTGCTGAATGAAGCACTAAATTATGAAGATTTTTTGAAGTTTTTAGGGAACCATGAATTAGAAAACATTGTGTAAATGTTGTTTTCACCGGGTCTTATTGAGAAACAAACCTCTGTATTAGCAAAAGGCAGTGTAAAGTCTCTTGTTAATACTTACAATAGAGGCTACAGTTAATTGCAACTAGGCTTAAAGAAAAGCAAGCATCAAACCTGAGCTAAATAAGATGCTAAAACATAATAGCATAGTAGATGAAACCTGTGTTTTAAAAAATACAATGTATAAGACTTCATAAACATAAGTCCTGATGCATGGGAAACCTATTTTAGAAATATTTTGATTGTGCTTTTCTTTAATTATGAAAATTTTCCTAAAGATCTATTAAGTACTTGGGGAAATATCTATAAGTGGGATAAGCTCATATGTTCATATTCAAGATAAAAGTTCAAGCTAAAAATAAAGAAGACTTCTTAATAGTGCAGTTAAAACTCATTTTTATTCTTTTTTTGTTAGAATGCATTTTTGATACAAAATCTCAGTTTTGCACTGGGTAGGTGTTTAAATTTTCATTCCAAATGAGTAAGTTGTATGTATATACGGTCTTCGAAATGTAACAACATATTTTTAAAAGTGTTTATATTTTGTTTAAAATGTAGCTGCTATATTTAATGAATAAACAATCAAACAAACACCAAATTAACTACAATGCAGCTGGTACTGCTGAAGCATCTTCCAAACTGGACTCTTTTCTATTATGTGGACTTTTGCCATTGCCATTTTGTAACGAATATCATCTGCGCATGGCTTGGAAGTTACCTTAGAGGGAAGAAAATTATTGTTAGAAGGAGAAAATAACTTTTATATAAAGGAATATTCAACATCTTATTCTTCAAATAGTACAAATGTATTTAAGTATAATAACATTTGAATCAAGTTTTCTGAAGTAGGTATTTAGGCATGGTACAAATAGGGGTGATTTGATGTATCCCATCAGCAGCAAAACCAGAGGAAGTTTGGCACTGCAAAAATAATAATAAATTAATGTAATGGCCACAGATAAATTTGTGGTATGTACTGCCATCAATTCTTACAGCATTCCTGTGTTAAAATCTGTCCTATTCATTCAGAACAAGCAGAGCACATTCAGATGTATAGAATCAGCAGTGATTTTAAGAACATGATGTTAATATGTACTAAGAGACTGGACAGGACATATCAATATATTCCACAAAAAGGTTGAAAAGTACCATGTTCAGTGATGTATTAAGCATTTAACAACTCTTGCTGCATAATAACAAGATGGAATTTATTTATTACCTTTTAAAATGATGAATACTCTGAGTAGGTTAATGCTTATCATTTTGAGAGGCCTACTCCAGGAAAGAATAAAAACTAAATTTGTATCTGATTTCTAATATCATACTGTTTCGATCTTTGGTACAGGGCATGCTGCTGGTACTGTTTTAGTTAAAATCGATTTAGAATTTTTATGGCAAAATGCGTAAGCACTTTTGCAAATATATTGGACTTTTCAGTGAAAAATGTTGATGTGACTAGAATACATCCCATATGCAAAGAACAATACACACCTATGACATTGGTATATTATTTCTGTGATTTACCAGCATTTGCATCATTAAAAATCTGCAAATAATGATAGAATTCAGATTGAGATTTTATTTTAAGAAGCCATTAAATATGTAGAAGAGATTTTGATGTCATGCTGGTTCTGCACTAGTAGAGGAAGTGAAGACATTCTAATTTAGCACCGGTGAATAATATTTAAATATCTAATTTGTTTTCATACATGATACTGAGTTATCTTTAACAATAGTTTGAACAGTTAGCTAAAGAATCTGAGTTGTGTTTCTATCGCAATATATTATGTAGGCTGGGATGAACATGACACACATATTTCTATTAAGGATAAGTATTTTATAGTGACTGATTTTTTTCTATTTTAATACACTTGTGAAATTCTGAAGACCTAATATTTGTAAGTGCATGCTGCTTAACTCACCTTAGCTATAGTTAGCATAAACTTAACAGCTTCCACATTACTGTGAACTGGAATGATGCGTAGATTACTGCCCAGGAATCTGCACATCAAAATAATTTAAGGTTATTTCTAGCATGTACATTTAACTTGTTATGCCACAGAATTAAAGAAGCCTTCCCATCGGATGCAAATGACTCTTCTAACAGTGCTTTCACCACATATGCACATAGCATTGTTTTTTATCTTTAAAAGCAAGTGCAGGGTCTATGATGTTTGTACCCATCTGTTTCACTTCTACACCACTCATTTATCTGGGATTTTAGAGAGACTTCATGTCGGTGAGGGCTCTTAGGAAAGCAATCTTTGTGAGTTCTTAAGCATGCATTTGGTGAGAACTAAACATGTAAACACTCTTTTGACACACTGCTGAAGACTGAGTGTCCTCAAAATGCCAGCAAAAAAAAGGGTATTTCTGATGGCTTTGGCAGAACACAGGAACAAATCTGAAAGCGCTGTTCTAAAAATACTTTGACCCAAATCTCTGTAGATACCATCTAGATGAAGCAATCTGTGTATGAATTAGAAGTAATTAAACCAATAGGATAATTCTGAAAGAATTTCATCTAAAGACTCGGACATTCAAGTAATCTATGTTATTCATAGCTCTTATGAGTATGTTATTCATAGCTCTTATCCTGAGAATGGAATCTGAAGTCACAAAATATTAGCATGGTACTTTATTCAAGGCAGTCATAGAAGAGGCGAGCACAGAGCCTCTCTCCTTAGACTTGCACCTTAGTGTGTTGTGACTGTGACAATAGTTTAGTATTGCTGCCTTTTCTATTGTGGACTTAAAACACTGTAGCAAGGAATAAGGAATTTTTGAAATAATGAAAAATTGAATGTAAAGAGGGACCCAGCTTAATTCTATACTTCCTCTGACCTCTCCTTGTGCTAATCACCTGTCTCTCCCCTCAGTCTAATTGATGGTTTGGACTTGTTCATGCCATGTTTTTTGAAGTATTGCCATCCCCTAAATTAGGTAGCCAGGATCCCTCTGAGTTTTCCTAAAATCTAGTGCAGTAATGAGTTTGATTTATCTTTCAATACCAGTTTTAGGATTAGGAAGATTAACGGATGAAATTTTGCCAGTACCAGCTGTTGGCAAAGCAAAGCATGAACTATGCACAATCAAGCAATTAGTGTATCAGGGTAAGTACATGTAAAATCCATTTTATCAACAGTGTTGCTTCCAATTCTACCAAGTCTGAATTTAGCTTGTTTTATTAATTTTGATCAATGGACAGAATACTGGCCTTTATAAGCATATGACTGGACTTTGCTCTAAGGAGGGTAAAAATCAATGTGGATTTATTGAGGGTATTACTGGAATGCTCCTTTTCTGAAGCTGTGATGATAAAAAATGTTTCTCCCTCTGACCCTAATCACATATACAATCCCATATAAAGTGTTCATAGTGTTGAACAAGAATCGTACAGTACTCCTTTAAGGGAAGCTTTTTGTTTTCTCCTCACTAATTGCAACAAAACTGTAGACAAGAAGGGAAAAAAAGGGCGGGGGCAGTAATACAGAAAGACCTCTGGAAACTACCAGGGGCTTGCTTTGTATTTTTAAAAGATCGAATAAACAAAATTTGAGAGTATGCAGCAAATTTAACCTCCCTGCCCCCAATGCAAAAACGCATTGATTTATGTACAATGACAGAACTGATAGTAACAAGCCACATGCATTCAAAATATAATTGTGCCTTGTCAGCATCAGTTTCTTGTGGCCTACAATGGCAAAAATGGAATTTCAGTAAAATTACTGACTTGGCAAATGGGTTGTATTTGCAAAACACTGTATTTTTTAGTTTTAGCAATGCATCCTGGAAATCAAGTGTACAAAGAAACAAAAGTAAATTGAGAATTTTCTCTGCTGTCAGATGAATTGCATGTTCTTGTTGAATGGTGGCAAAGCCCTCTCACAATATGTATGGAATCTTCACAAATGAGTAACAGGAACCCTACATTTCATCCCATACATTATGCCACTCATCAGCAATTGGCAGTGTGCCCAGGACTTAACTGAATTGGTGCTAATTTCAAGAAGGTAAAGACCACAGACCTGATTAGAATAGTCACTTGTTGGATGTCAAGAGTGAAAATCAAATGCAGCAGTGCTACTGTACCTACCAGAAAGTGGCTTTGACTAGGGACGAAGTAGGGAACACAAGGTTTGATAATGTTCTCAGCAGCTACATACTGCAACATGGGAGTTTTCAGGCTTTGGTACAAATCACAGATAATGTTTTCATGTTCAGTTTTACATTTCTGGTGTAAAATAATACTCATTACTATGTCAATTGTTCCAGCTCTTCACGCAAGAGATGCTATTCCAAGTAACCAGATGTTAAAAGCTGGCAATGAATGTGCTTTAAATTAAATCCTTTTTGTAGAATGAAAACTTTTTTTAAAACTTACTATAAAAATATGCTGACAGAGCTAAAAGAATTAAGGAAAATTGCATCATTTTCCAGTGTGAGAAAAAATCTTCAGTTATATTACATAGTCCTGAAGTGATTGAAAATAATCATGTTATTTGCTATGGTTTGAGGAATGTCCCCTTTTGCTGAGTTGACTATGACACATCAGGTTGATTCACTCATCATTCTTTTCATTTCATTTGCCATTAATAAGATAGGTTAGTATGAGAAATGTATCCTTTGGCTAATTTCTCATTGCCTGAGCAAACTAAAACTCACAAGAATATATGAATGTTGAAGAAAGTTATATCTCATTTCTTCATAAAAATATATTTGCTTTAATGTCGAATCCATACCTTCTCTGAATCCTAAACATTATATTCCATTCTTCTGGACCGTGAAGGGCAGCTGACAAAACTAAAAAACTATTCCGATGAATGTTAATGAACTTCTGAATTCTCTCTAAAAACTGCTCTTCTCCTGTCCTAGGCAAGTCTTGAGTGTCTGCCAGTATAAATGCAACCCCTGTTGGAGAAGAAAGTGATTACAGGTGTACATGTGGACTTCATGGCAGTACTGAGATGCAGTCTTCTCACTAGAACTACCCCATCAGGAGGCAGAATTTCTGCTCAAACATTAGTTTAGAAGGCAATAAAGCAAACTTGTGAATTAATTCACACATCTTGACAATAATATGCAAGATCTCGATGGCTGTCTTACATTTTAGTGATACCTCGGTGTGTTTCCTCAGTTATAACAAGAATTTACTAAATAGTTCAGCCAACAATCCTCAAATCCAAGCCCCTGTTACAATGAGTCCAATGACAGTAAAGACCAATGTTTTAGCTTCCAAGTTCTCCATTCTGCCCTCAGATTTACGTGCAATCATGGCACAGCTCCTTCCATGCTTCAACAAGGCAGCTTTATCCAATTTAGTGTAGCCTAAAACAGGGACTGTGTACCTCATTAAAGTTTTTGAGTTTTAAAAAATAAATAATTTTCAAAACACTATACCAGAAAGAGAGAATATCACGGATCCAATTTCCACCGAATCTGAATATCGAACTCTGTGCTGTTGTCTCTGCAGAATTGTAGAAATCTCATGGTTCTAAATAAATATTAAAAGGTTATTTTAAAACACGTTGTCAGCAAAAGAAATGAATAGAATATTCTTAAAATGTTGTCTGAAGGATCATAGATAGAACTTTAGTATTGTTTAGAAAATATTCTACCTGAAATAAAAAAAAATAGTAAAATGCTAACAACTTTTTCAGTTAATGAAATTTTGAAATATTTGTATTGGATGATATCAAATAATTGAATCACTATTTTGTATGCATACATTCATTTTGCCAGAGGAAACTCTTGCATAATACATCAAGAAGCTCAAACATTTTATGGTCTTTTTACAGATGTGCTAAAGGGAGATTTGCAGAAATGAGGAACATAGAGTAGTGTCTTTCTATAACACCAGTTAATTAGACTACATTCATTTTCCCAGATGTCAGCATTTCATTCGGCAGATAGTTCAGAAAAACTGTATTGGGCATGATTTTCATTAAAGCTTTTTGACTGAATACAATCCATTCAGGAAAACAAGAACATTGTGCTGTGCACCATAATCATCTATGGAGCAGAGTGCATTGGGATATATTTTTCAGCCTGCAAAAAGCATTTTTACACTGAGTTCCATCAAAATTGCTCAAGCTTTTTTTTTATGTAATTACATGTCTTTTAGTTTACCCATTTAAAATGCAACCAACCTGCAATATAAGGAGGAGGAGAACTGAACCCTGAAGGAGACAGTTACCAGAGAGTTCATGTTTCAAATTGGATCTGTAAAGGGAAGACTCAATGACAGCTGCTTATGAGGTGTGGCTACAATTTTTGAAAAATTCTCTACTTCAAAGCCAGTGTTGAGAATGAATTATTTAATGTAGGCTGCACAGAAAGAGAAATAATGATGCAGAAGTAATCAAACGGATACAAAGAAATACCTTCATAAAATAAAAGTCTTTTTGGAACTGTATTGAAGCTGTTTCTACATCTTTATTCCCAGAAAGTCTTTACCAACGGCAATAGCTTTGAGTAGAGTTAGGTTTTGAAGAACAGAGCTATACACTGGTATAGCTGATGAGGTCACCACCCTCAGATAGCTCTTAACATACTGAGGATTAAATTGCTCTTGAAAAAGTTCCCAAACTGGTACAATTTACTGGCTGTCGTTCTGCAGCAAGCGGGCAAATAAGAACACGCTTTACAATGCAATGGCTCAGGATCTGCTCCAGCACCATTCACCCAGTTGAACAGCAGAGATGGGGTGGTAACGCGGTCAGCCCCGTTAATGTGAGCTGTCCCTGCCTGTGAGTCAAACCCTCGGTCTCTAAATTTGCTCAGACTGGCATGAAAATGGCCTCAGTGTCAAGATCTAATTCCCAGTTCCTTGACAGTCTCTTTCACAAGCCTGGGCTTGTGATATTAATAGATAAAAAGATACATAATGATCTCTATTTTTAAACTAAATTGCACACTTACCCCAAAATAATCTATCTCAGTGTTGATACTGCACTCCAGAAAATAATGTGTTTAAGGAAGACATTTAGAATATAAAGCACCTCCCTTTTACAGAATTATTTTAGTGTTTGTTGAAAGCAGCATCAGGGCAGTGCAGAAATGATGAGTCAGGAAGACCATCCTGAACGACTCAGAATAGCGGGTAGCAAGAATAATAAATAGGTAGCCAAATACATACAGAAAGAACTAACACACACACAAACATTCAGTGTTATGGTAGGAGCAAATTCAGGGCTAATGCCTCTGTTTTTTCCTCAATATAGTATAAAGTTCATTTATACTGCATGATATATTTCAATGTATAGAATATAGGAAATGCTTCTTTCTGAGCTTTTAGTAAAGTGCCTCTCTTGACAAACAGTACAGTACCTGCAGAGCTGTACTCATAATAATAGTTGTTATCCACCTTGACTCTTTCTGCCCAACACTTTCCGTCATTTTTGTAGGGGCTTAATAGCTCTGCAGTGAAATATCAGCTGCCACCTTCTGAAAAATGGGAAAACAGCAAAAGAAAGATGATAAATATTAGCTGTCAAAAAACGTTGATGAAATGCTTAAGGCAAAATGACCCACTGAAGATCTCATCAAAATCAGCAGCTACCTAATTCTAAAAAAGAAGGTATGTAAGTGCCTACTACCACTGAACTAGTATGTATAAAATGGCGACTAGGTGTGCACTCGAGAGGTTTCCACTGTAAGGTCTGTCAGGGCAAGAGTGCGATAATGAATAATAAATAAATGACCCCATGAAATCATTTACAAAAACATTTAAATGATTAAGGAACCACTGTCCTGTTTTCAAATGACATATTTACACCAAAAGCTACACCTTTTGCAACAAGATGCTTGGGTGAGGGCTGCCCTGGCCTCCTGCTCAACCCGCTACAGCCCCCCATGATTTTGGCCAGAACAGTAGCTCTTTTCTGTACATTTGCATTTTCACTCTTTTAAAAATACTGCTCGCTATCCAGCGTGGCAGCTATTTTCTGTTTCAGTAGGGCTCATTTGGTGCAGCGGGGGGCACATAAGCTCCTCGGCAAAAGTGCCAGACGCTCAGACTCCCCAGGGTGTCGGTGCCATGGCCCCACCTGGGTCAAAACGACACAAAATGGCTCCCGGCCGGGTAGAAACCCGGGCTGCGCGAGACCACCCAACTCTCGGCTTCCCCGAGCTTGGCAGGATCTGCCCCTATCTGCAACTCTCCAAGCTCATCAGTTCCTTTGTGGTAAGCAGTCGGGGGGGCCGCCGGGCGAGGACTGCCCGGCCCTCAGGTGCCGCCTTCAGGTGCCGCCCTCAGGGGCGCCGCCGCGTGCCGGGGGCTTCCCGCGCTGCCGCCTAAGGGGCTTCTCGCCCTCATGGCCGCCTCATCGGCTTCCCCTGCGCAGGGCAGCTCCGTCCCCTTCTCGGACGCCGGCGGAGCGAAGCTGCCTGCTCTTCCCGACAGCCTGGCAGCCCGCCGTCCCTCCGAGGCAGCCCCGGCCTCCCCGGCCCCAAACGCGAGGCCCGCTGAGCGAACGGCCCGGCCGGCTCCCCCTCCTGCTGCTCCCCGCTCTGCGGCCCCAACGGGGTCTGAAAGACCTGGCTGACATCACGGTCCCTGAAGAGGTCTCACAGAAACCCAGTCTCCTCCCAAGCGCTGCACAACTGTGGTAACTTGACGTTTTCAGCTGAGGAAAAGGATGAAAAAAAAAAAATTGTGGAGGGACCCCAAGGCTGAATGAGCAAGTGACATAAGCCATAATGGTAATTAATTTATTTCTGCATAGGGGAAATCTTCGTGGATTGTTTTTAAAGGATGGTTAATTCTGCAGCCATTTCTGAGAAAGAATATTCCAGATGCTTCCCATGCTACTCCAAATATAAGCATTTATACAAGCAGTGCAAGAATTTAAATGCAAGAAATAATGCCCCTTCAAGTGAAGAAAGGGGTAGTGAGGATGTCGGTACCTCCTCTTTCATCACATGCAAGAAAGCAGTTCTGCTTTAAAGAGTGAAAGAGAGGTGTAGTGGAATTAGGGGGAAAAGAAAGGGAAAAAATCAGGGACAAATTTAATTTCTGTCTTGATTCCTTAGCTAAACTCTTGCTTATTTAATGAAAACTAGTTTTATTGAAGAAGGCAATGTCTTTTTTAAATATATTCATATATATATATGTATATAAAGCAAGTACTCTAACCTACTCAGGAAGAAAGAATTAGACATTCTAGTGATTTAAAAATGACTTTTCTCTATTTTGTTTCAGGCAAATGAGAAACGGATGCACATTGGATTGCCTGCTTCTGGTCAGATGCATCAGAATATTCCAATTAACCTTCAGGGAAAGGGAGCGGAAAGGTTGTGCTATGATAGTAAGTCAAATATTTCTTGTGCCTTTTTTTTTTTTTTTTTTTTAATTTCTGGGGAGCATAAATGGAACACAACAAATGTAGGCGGTAGCTGAGCTCCAGTTCTGTTCTGGATGACTATGGCAGGACCAGTGAACTCTGGGGTCATTTTCTGCAGTGGAACCATGAGCCTTTCTGAGCTCTGCCTGCATAAAAAAGTCAAGGAGTTGAGAAAATGAGGAATTACTTTAAAATATCACTATAAAATAGTGAGTTTTATAATGAACCCTAACCTTAATGTTTCACCTGGACTGAGTTTATGCAATAGGGAGTGATGATATCCCAGACTGAGGATGGCTCAGGGAAAATACTAGCAGCAACCCTAGTTCTCTGCAGTAGCCCGTTTTGAGCTTTGCTTTTGCTGCATATCTCAGCTTTCACATTCTCGGAGCTCAGTGGCAGCTGTTTTCTAGCTGCTAGGAATCTACACAGGCAGATAGAGAGCACTTCCTTTCCTTTTGTGAGTGCTGCAGTGCCAAGCTTGGTGCTCATATGTGTGCCACAAAAGGAAAATGACCCAAAAGACTTTACTGAAGTGCTAATTGATAATGCTGTGGTGGGAATGGACCCAAATGTCCTTAGGGGAAGGTCTGTATCCCAGCCCTGTACTTGTTCTTTCATGATTCCTAAGAATGTATTCCATTTCCCTTCTTACAGGTTTAATCAGTTTTGCATTAATAGATGATTAATTAAAAATACAAACTGATGCGCTTGTGTTTTAGAACAATAAAACACGAGTTTTTGAAAAACAAATTACTATAAAGATTTTAAACAAACTGGGAGTAACATGCTTTAATTTATTAGCTTAGAGTTGAAGGGTAATGAAAACTCACTTTTTCTGTTGTTAAGATAGTTGTATTCTGTCATTTCAGCATTTTCGTTCCCTTCCCAATTACCAAACTACTACCACTTTTATTAAACGGTTAACTGAGAATGTGCCTGCATTTTTCCAGTTGCTGCACTTTTCTCAGCATTCTTCTACGCAGAGCTTGTTTTCACCTGCGCCAAAGGAGCTGTATTTTAAAAACAAATGTTTGGTATGAACAAACCCTCACTGAATTAAATTAAAATATACCATTTTGGGTAAAGGTTGCAAAAACTAATCATACAGAGAAATTTCGTTTCTGGAGCAAGTAGAGCATGCAGAGTTTTTGCTGATGTGGGTGCCTAGAATTGCACATCATGTTTGGTCCGTATTCAGGAAACATCTGAATCTGTCTGGGAAACATCTAACCAGATGTAAGATTGCTAATAATATTAGGGCTCTCCTCAGAACATGTAGTATATTGAGGAAAGCAATATAGCAGTGCAGTTTATGATATCCACAGGAGTCTTGTTTGTTAACAGGCTGCTTGCATCTAAAAAGATACATTTGCTCAAGAAATGCTAACATCAGTTTTCATTCAACATCTAAAAAGTGAAGAACTGACAAAATCAGTAAGTTAAGCCAGCTACTCCCCAGAGATGCTCATTATTACATATTTATTAGAGATGAAATGTATCTTAATATATGAGAAACAATTTTTGTATATATACTGACTAGGTTTTATTTTTGGAATGAGACATATTTGTATAATGGAGAAATATAAAATAGACTCCCATCTAAGTTGAAGGTTATTTAAAGATAGAAGGACTCAAAGACAATAGAAATTTCTGGACTGCATGTTCTTTGGAACATTTTCCTCCCCATAGTCTCACTTTTGAAGAGCAATTTTGAGGGATCCTCTGCTACCTGATACTGTGAGGTAGATTCTGCTTCGCTTCCCGTATCTGTGCTCTGTAGGTGTTGATGTGAGAGAACGTCTAAGAGCCCCATTCTCCTTGCTGAACGCTCTGTGATCACTCCTGAAGCCTTGAGACTGCCTCTAACCCTGCAACATTGTGTCATTATGCAGCAGAGATGGAAGTCTGTGCTTATTTACAGCTGTTAATTCAGCTGTTTATCCTTCAGGGACGTGCACAGAGATTCTTGCATAGGCCTTCCAGAACCTGTCCCATTTGCAGTGGTTTTGAGATAAGAGCAATCTAAGATGACCTTTAAAGTGATGTGCTTTTATATGGAATAGGAGTTAGACTCATTTTACTACTTACATTCATCTCTTCTCTGAAGATCTCTGACATTTTGCTAGACTTAGCTCTGTGAAGCACATTCATTTCCCATATACCTACAGGATGCATTTCCCATACAGGAGAAGCTGCAAGAGGGAGAACAAGAGAGTTCTGTGTCTGCCAGCATGCCAAGTAATGCTTGAGAGCAGAGTTTAGGCAGGAAGAGAAGGATCCTGGGATTGAAACTCCCATATGATGAAAATAATGGTTTAAGTGTTTGGATGAATGGGTAACTTATGACAAGATTTCTCAAAAGTAGAGTTTCTTTGTGCTATCTTGCAATCTTTTGTATGTGTTCTAAATCACCACTATTTTTTGGTGTCCAGTTTATTACAGCAGTCACAAAGCCAGTCACTTTCTTTTTGTGTTTTCGTATATGAGGCTCATCTTCATACACAGCACCTATGTCCTGTTCTCCACTAACCCAAGAAAGAGTATTTTTTCCCCTCTTGCAAGAGAAAAAAAAGGTCTGAAGTTCCAACTTCAACTGGAAAGGGAAAGTAACTTTTTTTTTGCTATTAATAAGCACAACTAAAAAACAATACTTGGAATGCCCAAGTTCAATAAAGTACAGTGACTCAGCATGTAAGTTACATGTAGGATTTATTTCCATCTGTCATACACAAAGCAGCTAAGAGTCTTCAGTATGTAGCACTGGAAAGAAAGTTTGTGGGATTATGAAACCATACAGTGATTCTGAAAACAGAAAAGTGTGTTTGCAAGGAATCATTTGGAAATATGATTAGTTAGGCACTGGGGTGGGGAGGAGTCTTGGGAAAAAAAAAAGCAAGCAGGTAGAAAAAATGCAAACATTCAATTTGAAAGCATACCCCTCTCCTCTGAAATGACTGAGCAGTCAAAATACTGACTCAAACTTTTCTCAGGATGCATTCTACTATATATATACATATATATTTAGGATTAATCTCAATTACTACAGCACAA